ACCGGAAAAGAGGTGCACGTTTTTACCAGGGCGAGGAACGACCCGCGGGAACAACTTCCCAGGAGCTGCGGAGGGTTTCCCAGTTTCAGTGGTCGCCATGTTAGTCTGTATCAGCAAAAATACCGAGGAGTCCTTGTGGCACCTTAGAGACTAACAAATTTATTTGGGCATAAGCTTTCGTGGGCTAGAACCCACTTCATCAGATGTATGAAGTAAAAGATACAGGAGCAGGTATAAATACATGAAAGGCTGGGGGTTGCTTTACCAAGTGTGAGGTCAGTCTAACGAGATAAATCAATTAACAGCAGGATACCAAGGGAGGAGAAATAACTTTTGAAGTGGTAAGAGAGTGGCCCATTACAGACAGTTGACAAGAAGGTGTAAGTAACAGGGAGAAATTAGTATTGGGGAAATTAAGTTTAGGTTTTGTAATGTTTTCCCGTCACTGGCGATTTAAAAATCCAGACGGGAGGTTCGTTCCAAAGCCGTTGAATTCATGAATCAGCGTCTTTTAGAGGTGTGTGTGTGTGTGTGTCCTTCCCAAATCTGTCTCAGCCAATGTTAGTTCCTCTATCCGATCACCTACCCTGACCTCCTGTACAGCACAGGTCTGAGAACTTCACCCACTTAACCCTGGATTCAGCTCAGTCACTTGTGCCGGACTAAAGCATCTTCCAGAAAAGCTCCAGTCTGGATGGGAAGCCATCCAGAGATGGAGATGCCCCCGCTGCCCCCCTGGGGGGTTTGGTCCATTGTTAAAAACGGGTGCCTTGTCTCTCACTGGAACATGTCTGGCTTGAACTCCCAGCCACTGGGTCTTGTTCTGTCCTTCTCCACTAGACTGAACAGCTTGTTAGCACCTGGTATTTTCTCCCCATAAAGATACTTAGGCCTGGTCTACACTACGAGTTTAGGTCGAATTTAGCAGCGCTAAATTGAATTAAATGCTGCACCCGTTCACACAACGAAGCCATTTTTGTCGACATAAAGGGCTCTTAAAATCGATTTCTGTACTCCTCCCCAACGAGGGGAGTAGCGCTGAAATCGACATTGCCGGTTCGAATTAGGGTTAGTGTGGATGCAATTCGACGGTATTGGCCTCCGGGAGCTATCCCACAGTGCACCATTGTGACCGCTCTGGACAGCAATCTGAACTCGGATGCACTGGCCAGGTAGACAGGAAAAGCCCCGCGAACTTTTGAATTTCGTTTCCTGTTTGCCCAGCGTGGAGAGCTGATCAGCACAGGTGACCATGCAGAGCTGATCAGCACAGGTGACCATGCAGTCCCAGAAACGAAAAAGAGCTCCAGCATGGACCGTACGGGAGGTACTGGATCTGGTCGCTGTATGGGGAGACGAATCCGTATCCACCACAAGTATCAGGGGTAGCCCTGTTAGTCTGTATCCACAAACACAACAAGGAGTCTGGTGGCACCTTAAAGACTAACAGATTTATTTGGGCATAAGCTTTCGTGGGTAAAAACCCCACTTCTTCGGATGCATGGAGTGAAAGTTACAGCTGCAGGCATTATATACTGACACATGAAGAGGAGAGGTAAAGCTGCTTCTGTAATGAGCCAGCCACTCCCAGTCCCTATTCAAACCCAAATTAACGGTGTTAAATTTGCAAATGAACTTTAGTTCTGCAGTTTCTCTCCGAAGTCTGTTTCTGAAGTGTTTTTGTTCAAGAATAGTTAGTTTTAAATCTGTTATCGAATGTCCAGGGAGATTGAAGTGTTCACCTACTGGCTTCTGTATGTTACCATTCCTGATGTCAGATTTGTGTCCATTTATTCTTTTACGTAGGGACTGTCCGGTTTGGCCAGAGGGGCATTGCTGGCACATGATGGCATATATCACATTAGTGGATGTGCAGGTGAATGAGCCCTTGATGGCGTGGCTGATGTGGTTGGGTCTCTGATGGTGTCACCAGAGTAGATATGGGGACAGAGAAGGCAACGAGGCTTGCTACAGGGATTGGTTCCTGGGTTGGTGTTTCTGTGGTGTGGTGTGTAGTTGCTAGACACCACAGTCACTTCTCATTCTTCTTTTTGATAAGCTAAACAGATCGAGCTCCTTGGGTCGAAGGCATTTCCTCCTGATCTTGAATAACTTTTTGGTGGCTCGTTTCTACCACGCACTCTGAGTTTTTAACATCCTATTTAAAACAGGGACACCAAAACCAGATGCAGTATTCTAGTATCCATCTCTCCAGTTCTGGGGACTGTTAGGCCTGTCCAGTTATATAGATTTGGTCTTCCCTGCAGAAGAAGGTGAGCTTTTAACAGGGTGATCACTGTGTGTCTTAGGCGCAGGATAGTTCACCTCGGTCCAAGCAGCTGGGGTTAACAGCACTGCCACACATGAGCAAGGGCTGCAGGCGTGCACGGGAGCGGAGCCCAGGGCAGCTCTCGTGCTATGACACGAGTGCCGTTTGCGGGGAAGTCAGGCTTTCACGGGGATGTCCCTCCAACATGCCACCAGCCCAGCGTGTTTCAATCACACGCCTTCCCTCACTCCCCAGAATGCCTCATTTTCCCAAGAACACTGCCTGGAGAGAGGTGGATTAGCTCCTTCCTCCGCGGCAGCCTGGCGATGAATTTCAATCAGACGCGTGGGGGTGGGGAGACAGATACACATGTAAATGGGTGAGGACAGTGCATCGGAGGGCCCACGGTGGCTGGCTCAGGCAGAACAAACTGGGGGGATCCCTTCCTTCCCACCTCAGTTTCCCTGCACCCCTCCCTTTGGCTGACACCGATCGTAGGCTTGATCCTTCCACTGCTCTGGGAACTGAGGTACCTGCGTCAGGCTAATCTGCACACCGGGCCCAAGGCTATAAATGGGAGCATTAATTAAACAACCAGTCACTGACTGTAATCATTGCTTGTTGTTGTTGTTGTTCTTCTTCTCTGGACTCCAGAAGTGTCCATTGCTTTTGCCCAGAGCAGGACGCAATATCCCAGATGGGACTGGAGCCCAGAATGACAGCAAGCGAGTGAAACAAGGAGCGGGCACACTTTTGGCAAGAATCCCCTTCAAACAGGCTCATTAGCAGGGTTCGCATGTTTCCACAACGCCTACTCCACCCCCTTGCAAATTGGGGGCTGCAAGATCTAACGCCGCAAACGTGTGAAGCGTTCAGTCCGCCTTGGTGTCTTTCCGCCTCCAAAGGAAACTGCAGGGGTAATTGTGGTTTTCCCAACGAATCTCTTACACTTCTAAGGCAGGTTTGGATTGAAAAACAACCCCAGAGATGCTTTATAAATAAGGACCCCTCGCCCAGTGCTAAGATAAAGCCCGGGGGGGGGGGGGGGGGGAGGGGGCTGGTTATACAGCGATATTTCGCCTGGCACTGAAATGCACCCGCCTCTGGGGCAGGGCAGCTGGTTATATGGAGATCCCTTCATTCGTGCTGAGATGCAACTGTCTCTGGGGTGGGGAGGCGGTTTATACAGGGATGTGTCGCCTAGCGCTGAGGTGCGGCGGCCTCTGGGGTGAGGTACAACAGCTGTTTATAGATGGACAGTGTTAACGTGCAGCCACCTCTGGGGGGAGGCAGAAGTCTGGCTGTGCGTTATAAACCTACAACCCTACACAGCAGTTGACTGGGGGCAGAAAGCGAAGAAGGATCCAGGAGCTCCAGGTGTGAAATCAGTCTGCGGAGCATCGCTCCAGACAACTTACGTCTCCGTACTGCTCCGAGCGCGACGGGGGACGCAGGCCATGCTTCCCAGCACTGTCGCAAACGCATCCGGCACCAGGCCTGGGTCTCGGGGGGGGAGGGGAGACTGGGGCCCCGGTGGGGGGACCTGGGGGACATGGCTGGGGGCCCTGGTGGGGGGCCATGGATCTCTAGGGGGGAGGGGCTGCATGCCCCAGTGGGGTGGCTCTGGGGGGCAGGGCTGGGGGCCCTGGGGGGGGGGCGGGGAGGGGGAGGGGGGGGGGGGGGGGGGGGGCCCGGGGGGGGGCCCGGGGGGGGGGGCTAGGCAGGGCCGGCTCCAGGCACCAGCCTAGCAAGCAGGTGCGTGGGGAGGCCAATGAAGGGGGGGGCGGCACGTCCGGCCCTTCGGCGGCAATTTGGCGGCGGGGCCGTCACTCCTCTGGGAGCGAAGGACCTGCCGCCGAATTGCCGCCGTAGAATGGGGCGGCAAAAATGCTAGAGCCGGCCCTGGGGCTAGGGGCCCACGAGGGGGGCTCTGGGGGACAGGGCTAGGGGCCCTGGTGGGGGGCCCCTGGGTCCCCGGGGGGGCAGGGGCTGAGGGTCCCTGGGTCTCTGGGGGGGAGGGGCTGGGGCCCCCTTTCAGGGGGCCTTGGTGGGGGGGCTCTGGATCTCTAGGGGGTAGGGGCTGGGGGCCCAAGAGGGGTGGGATCTGGGGGGCAGGGCTGGGGGCCCCAATGGGGGGGCTGGGTCTCTGGGGGGGCGGGGGACCCCAGTGGGGGAAGGGCCTGGGGGGCCGGGTGGGGAGCTCTGGGGGGCGGGGCTGGGAGCCTCTGGGTTTCTGGGGGTGGGGCTGGGGGCCCTGTGGGGGGCCCCGTTGGGGCCCCTGGATGTCACTGGGGGGAGGGGCTGGGGGCTGTTTTGGCGGGAACGGAGGTTGGAACGGGCGCGGGGGCGGTTGGTGATGCCCGCCCACGTCGTTGCGTCCGCGTGCCCCGCCGCTAGGGGGCTCCTTCGCACCTCAGAAGTTGGCGCATGCGCCTTAAAAAAAGTGAGGGAACGGGAAGCCCTCCTCTGGGACATGCTCAGAAGAGGAGCGCGCTGGAAGTGGCGCAGGCGCAATAGGCAAGCAAGCTGGCGGCACGTGCCGCCCCACCCGTCAAATGCACGCGCAGTCGAACGGGGCGGTAGAGCATGCGCTGTGGCCAACCAGTGAGGGCGGGTTCGCGGCACAGGCGCACTGGCGACTAACGGAAACGGGGGTGGGACGGCTGCGCAAGCGCCTGGAGCGGAAGCGGGGGGGGGCAGGGAGCTGGCGCCTGCGCAGTGCGCTCAGGCGGCGCGGCCCCGCTGACAGCAGCCGGGGGGGGCGGGGGCTCATGGCGGCCGGGTCCGGAGGCAGGAAGCCCGGCGCCCCGCGAGACGCGGAGTCCGAGGTCTGGTCCCGCCGCGTCAGGGACCTGGTGGGCTCCGGGCCCGGCAACCGCCTCTGCTTCGAGTGCGGCCAGCGCGGCGTCACCTACGTGGACATCACGCTGGGCAGCTTCGTGTGCACGGGCTGCTCGGGCGCGCTGTGAGTGGGGGCGGGGCTTGGCGCGCGCGGGCTGCTCGGGCGCGCTGTGAGTGGG